AGGTTTGATTGACTCAAAATTCCACAGACTTAACAGGAGGCGAAGACTGGAAAGCCTCAGGAAACTTACAATCATGGCAGAAGGCAAAGGGGAAGCAAGCACCTTGTTCACATGGTGGCAGGAAAGAGAGAGAGAGAGTGAAAGGGGAAGTGCCCCACACTCAAACACCCAGATCTCCTGAGAACTCACTCACTATCACGAGAACAGCATGGGGGAAATCCACTGCCATGATCCAATCACCTCCCACCAGGTCCCTCCCCCAACACTGGGAATTACAATTCAACATGAGATTTGGGTGGGGACACAGAGACAAACCATATCAACCTGTTTCCTGTGGCTGTGTCTTTATCTTTTCTTTTGTTTCTTTCAGTATTTTATAACTTCCTTAGCTAATTGATGTTCCCAAGGTTTATGACAGGTAAATTTATAAGATTTTACACATCAAAACATTGAAACATTTATTTTTTCCTATGTGGTTAATGGTTAATTTTAGGTGTCAACTTGACTGGATTAAGAGCAACTAGATAACTGTTAAAGTAGTATTTTTTAATGTGTCTGTAAGGATTTTCCCAGGGGAGGTTGGCAGGTTAGTCAGTGGACTAAGTGGAGAAGATCCAACCTCAGTGTGGGTAGCACCATCCAGTCAGCTGGGGGCTTGGGTAGAACAAAGACAAAGAGGAAGGGCAGATTCACCCTCTCTCTTCTGGAGCTGGAATGTCCTTCTTGTGACCTTGCACATCAGAGCATTAGACCTTTGGACTCCAGGACTTTCACCAGGGGCCTCCCCAGTTCTCAGGTCTTTCAGACTTGGGCTGAGCCATGCTACTGGCTTCCCTAGTTCTCCAACTTGTTGATGCCCTTTCATGGGACTTCTCAGCCTCCATAACTGCATGGGCAAATTCCTCTAATAGATCCTCTTTTATCGTTCTCTCTCTACGTATATATTCTATTGGTTCTGTCTCTCTGGAGAACTCTGACTACTATGCCCTGAAATCTGATTGATAATTTGACTGGGTAAAGTGTTCTATGTTGGAAATAATATACCCTTTACATTTTATAGACATTTCGCATTGTCTTCTCTTTCTGGTGCCATTTTGATTTCTGCTCCATTGTTTGTCTCTGGCATTCTGAAATTTTATGACAATATCCTGGGTACTTCCTGTATCCTTAGAAAAAGAAACCCTTTTGGTTCTAGGAAATTATGTTATGTTGTTGATAATTTCTTCCTGTTTCTTTTCTCTTTTCAGGAACTCCTTTTGGGTATTAGATCTCCTAAATTGGTACTCTAGTTTTCTTATCGTGTCTTCTGTGGTCTATCTATTTTTCTGTCTGCTTCACTTTTCTTGCTTTTGATAAGTTTCTCATATTTTTAATTTTTAAGAGTTGTTTTTTTCTCTGAATGTTCATGTTTGAAAACATTCTGTTTTTGTTTTATGAAAGCAATATCTTTTCTCTCTGGTGATACTTAAGAGAAGTTTGTACATTTTCTTCTGTGTAACTTCTGTTTCTTTCAAGTTTCCTTTTGTTGTTTGTTATTTTGGTTTCTAACATCTATTTTAGGGGCTTTTCTCAAGTGTCTGGTTTTCTTGGTTGCTCATTGTTAAGAGTGGCTTACTAAGAAGACTGTTGAAAGCTGTGTGTTTGTTCGTGAGGCTGGTGGAATTGTAGGAATCACTGTAAGGAATGTAACTCGGCTGTTGGGTTGAAAAAATAACCGTTAGTAGCATGAAGCCTTTCTTACAGGGAAAGTCAGATTCCTCTGTGAAGGCTCTTCCAATATCTTACCTAGAGAGATAGTATGTGCCACCAGCACGCTGGGAACTGAGTTTGGGAAAAGGGATGGGGATTTCAGCATCTATAAATAAGTGTTCACTGAGCCCTTTTGCTCTCAGTATTGTGCCCTCACTCCCAGCTGGACCTCCATCTCTAGTCCGGGGATCTTCTTCAGAGAACAAGCCTCCTGTCTCTTGCTGGGGCATCCACCCAACTCTTTGGTGGGAGGGAAAGGGAGGGAGTTGGGGAGAGGATCTCAGAATCTAACTCATAAGCAACTTAGCACCATTCACTTATACCTACTTTTACACACAGACACACACAGACACACACACATGCAAGCATACACATGTGCACACACATGCATATATGCAGACACACGCACACACATGCATATATGCAGACACACGCACACACATGCATATATGCAGACACACGCACACACATGCATATATGCAGACACACGCACACACATGCATATATGCAGACACACGCACACACATGCATATATGCAGACACACGCACACACATGCATATATGCAGACACACGCACACACATGCATATATGCAGACACACGCACACACGCATATATGCAGACACACGCACACACGCATATATGCAGACACACGCACACACATGCATATATGCAGACACACGCACACGCACACACCTGTTTTCCAGAGGTAACCACCGCCACCGATTCTTGTGACTTTGGGGATTCTCTGGTGTTAATTGCATTGATTCTTGGCCTCCTCCAATACTGGTTTAGCATTCAGCTTTCTCAGGTCTTCTAATTCATTATCACTCTCCCCAACTCACCCAAGCCCTCCCATCGGACCTTGAGAGATTAATCTGTCATCAGTATGTCAAATAAAAAAGTAGCTGGGTGTGGCAGCTCACGCCTCTATTCCCAGCTACTCAGGAGGCTGAGGTGAGAGGATCACTTGAGCCCAGAAAGTCAAGACTGCAGTGAGCTGTGATCGTGCCCCTGTGTTCCAGCCTGGCAACAGAGGGATGCCCTGGCTCCACAAAACAAAACAAAATGTAACAAAAATAACCCCAATCAAACAGAACAACAACAAAAAATCAGAGAAGGTTCAGGGGAGGAGTTAATGGAAGTGGCCCAAGTAAAGACAGGTGACTACAGGCTTCTGAATAAAGATGGCAACTTAAGCCTACACGTTTACCATTTCTCCCACCCGAAATGATAGCGAAGTAACTGTTTTGAAGGCAAAAACAAACAAACAACAACAAAAAAGACCTCTCAGGAGAAAAAGATGGGAGGAGAGAGGTAGCTCACATTAGGGAGTTATGAAGAATATAGTAATCAAGATCAGGCCAGGCATGGTGGCTCACGCCTGTAACCCCAGCACTTTGGGAGGCTGAGGCGGGAGGATCACATGAGCCCAGACAATCAAGACGAGCCTGGCTAACAAAGTGAAACCCAGTAGCTACTAAAAATAATTTTTTTAAAGTTAGCTGGGCCTGTTGGCAGCTGTGGTCCCTGATGCTCAAGAGGCTGGGGTGGGAGCATTGCTTAAACCTAGGAGTTTGAGGCTGCAGTGAGCCATGATTGTGCCATGGCACTCCAGCCTAACAGCAAGATCCTGTCTCAAAAAAAAAAAAAAAAGGAAAAGAAGTTGGGGTACAGCTGCATGGGAAGTTTGAGTTTCTCATGGGTGGCTAAGATGAACGGTACTGACAGACTTGAAGGGATCCATCCTCATGGCCTATTTCAGTGGAAGGTGAGTCAAATGTCCAGGCCTAAAGTGTTTGACTAGAGCCATGGAGCCTAATGTCCATGGGTAGTTGACATTATGAAGTCTCTGGGCCATGGTTCTCTCTTGTGATAGAAACAAGCTTATTCCAGCAGACACTCAAGTTTTTGGCATCACCAATCTCTGCTGAAGCCCTCAGTTGGTGGGGCCTTTTGGAAAGGGTAGGTGTCCCTGGAACAAGCACATGGAGCTTCCTCAAGGTGCTCTGACAAGGGAAATATTGGGGCCCAGGGGAAAGTCTTATGGAGCACAGGGGCTCTCTACCCAATGCACACAGAAGCCAATGCTGGCCAGGCACTGTGGCTCACGCCTGTAATCCCGGCACTTTGGGAGGTGGAGGCGGGCGGATCATGAGGTCAGTTGATCGAGACCATCTTGGCTAACACAGTGAAACCCTGTCTCTACTGAAAATATGAAAAAAAAATTTTTAGCTGGATGTGGTGGCACACACCTGTAGTCCCAGCTACTCAGGAGGCTGAGGCAGGAAAATCGCTTGAACCTGGGAGGTGGAGGTTGCAGTGAGCTGAGATTGTGCTACCACACCCCAGCCTGGGTGACAGAGCAAGAATTCATCACACACACACACACACACACACACACACACACACACGAAGCCAATACTATGGCATGGGCTTTTGAGAAAAAAAGAGAGGTTTTATTGCAAGATGGGCCAGCAAGAAGACAGGAGGGAGGCTGAAAGCTCTCTCCTCCACTGGGGGTATGGGACAAGTTTTAAGGGCTCCCAGGGCATGGGAAAGGACTTAGGAATAGTTGTCTGAGCAGGGTCTGATAGGAGGATTTTACATTTGACCATTTAGGGTAAGGTATGTTGAAGCAGATTTTACCCCTGATCTTTGGGGCCAATGGACTCCTCACGTCTGAAAGAGTTCCAGCATTCAGGTTCTGGAACTTATGGAAGGACTTAGTGGTTCTGGGTGTTATTGGGGTGAATGCCTTTTCTATTGCTCGGGCTACATGATTGCAGTTTCTGGCTGTGTTATACCTACATGGTAACTTGACATTTTGTTATCAACCAAGTAGGCCGAGTTTCAGTTAGGCATGGTGGCATGTGCCTGTGTCCCGGCTACTCGGGAGGCTGAGGTGGGAAGATTGCTTGAGCCCTGGAGGTCAAGGCTGCAATGAGCCATAATTGTGCCACTGCACTCCAGCCTGGGTGACTCAGCAAGACATTGTCTCAAAAAAAAAAAAAAATATATATATATATATATATATGTGTGTGTGTGTGTGTGTGTGTGTGTGTATATATATATATATATATATATATATATGTATATGTGCGAACATAAAATTCGATTTAGTGAACTCAGAGTTCATGATGGTTGATGATAAGACTTTTGCCAGGCAGAGGTTTGGGGAGAGTAAAATGTTACAAAAATTCCAGATGGTGAGAAGCGTCTGTGATCTCTTGCTGTTATTCCTTCCCCCAGGACTGTCTTTCTGGCATGGTTCAATCGGTCACACAGACTCCATGACCCTGTGCCCCATGCCCTTGAATGGAGATGTGGGTTGCTGCTGGCACCAGGCCCCTGCCCATCCCGTGGATGACACGTCTGACCCACGTCCCCTCATGCCCTCCTGCTGACAAGACTGTGCTCACCAGCTTTGATAAAACCAAAGAGTGGGGAACAGCTTCTGGTCACCTGCTGGAGAGGCAGCATCTACACAGGGTGGCCTCTGTCCCCTCCTTGGCTGTTGGCTTTTTACACGTCAGTGTCCTCATTTCCCCCACAAGACCAAGGGCGCCTGACACTCCGTGTTACTCAGTGACTTCATTTGTGAAGAGAAGGGAAACAGGGCCAGTGCTGTGTTTCTCTAACACCGAGATCGACCTTTCAACACCAGAACAGCTGGTAGAAGGACACAGTTTTCCTCATCCTCACAGCTCTGGAGAAGAGGAAGAAAACACTCCCAGTTAAATAAAAAGCTTCAAAAGGCATCGTAAATTCCCATAGCGGGATATTTAAAGAATGATTTTAACGATCAGACTAAATAAGGCGACCTGACTCCGTGCCTGGAAAACTCACCCGGCTCAGGAGAGCTTTGTCATTATTACCTCATCTGAGAGCCACTTAACCCAGGCAGGCCCTGGACATGCCTTGCTGCCTGATCTCATGCGGGACTGCTGGTGCAGCGCAGGCAGGTGGCAGGCTGGCCCTGCCTCCTCACAGGCCCTGCCTGGTCACCACTGTTCGGATCCCATTCTTGTTTCTGTGCTGCTCAGAGAGCATAGAGGACACCTGCATGAACAGCAGCCGAGGCAGGGTCAAGGCAGGGGGTGGGCGCAGGTGTGCTCCTCCTTTCTGTCCATTCCTGCTGGGGGGCATTTCTCTAGGGAGAGGGAGTTAGGGTTTCTCTGCAGCAAGAAACCCCCTTTCCCTTCCTCTCCATGATTTTGTGAGGATTCCCGATTCTGGCTCACGTGGTCCAAGTCCATTCAGAGATGCAGGTGTGAACCAAGCCCCTGCCACTGACTTACTGTGTTAGCGAATAAATCACTAAGACTCTTTGGACAATTTGGGGACATTTAGGGGCCTTCCAGTTTGCAGTATTCTGTAATTCTGACAGCTCTCTGGGTGTCCATGGGTAATGCACAATTTTGCCTTTTATTGGCAGGCGCTGAGGATCATATTGATTTGGTTTGGTCTGAGAAGCAAGGAGGCCCAGGCACGCATCTTCTCCTAATTAATTTTTCATGCTCCATGGCAGCGATTCCTCCTACAGCCAGGAGAGGCTGTGCAGCGGCTTCTCTGATGCTTTTTTTTTTTTTTTTTTTAGCATTGGTTGTCAGCAGAAATGGCCCACCTCCTGGTCCTGCAGTCCCAGTGGGTGTCTGGGGAGGGGACACAGCTGTCCCTTCTGTCTTCTCAAAGACAGATGGCAGGGAGGAATTGGGGGACGGGACGGGGGGAGAGAGAAAGGAAGACAGAAAGGGAGAGGGCAGGAAAGAGGAAGAGAAGAGAGAGAGAGAGAGAGAGAGAGAGAATGGCTTGAATAATTGAATGAGAATTGTCTTCCCCAAGTTCGGCATGGTGGCTCATGCCTGTAATCCCAACACTTTGGGAGGCTGAGGCAGATGGATCACTCGAGGTCAGGAGTTTGAGAGCAGCTTGGCCAACGTGGTGAAATCCCATCTCTACTAAAAATACAAAAATTAGCTGGGCATGGTGGCGCACGCCTGTAATCCCAGCTACTCAGGCAGGAGAATGGCTTGAACCTGGGAGGCGGAGGTTGCAGTGAGCCAAGACTGCGCCACTGTATTCCAGCCTGGGCGACAGAGTGAGACTGTCTCAAAAAAAAAAAAAAAAAAAAAAGCAACAACAACAAAAAAGAGAATTATCTTCCCTGAAAATGAAAAGGATTGTTTCCCAGCAGGAAAGCACTGGAGCCCCGGCACCCCCGATGGCTTCCTCTGGGTCAATGACAGCATAGCTGCAATGTGAGCTCCTGTTGGTTTTCTTCACTGAAGTAGGGCTGCTTTTGCCGTGAGTTAAGACATCAACCTATTTTGATCTTTCCAAATAGTCACTGAAAATAGTGGGGTGCATCCCCACATGCTCTCAGAGGGCTGTTTTTCTCTTACGGAGAAGTCCTGTGGGTCTTGTCCCACGGGGCCATGGAGATGTGGTTGGCACAGGGGACACCCCTTCATGCTTAGAGCACAATCGTACTGCTGTGGACTTGCTTTGTCTGAGCTCCACCAGGCTGTGAACGCTCTGGAGAGAGGAAGTCTGTTTTGTTTGTCTGGCTCCCAGGACCCCATCCAAAATCAGGAACCTAGGAGGTATCCATCAAACAGTTGTTCAGTGGATGGGAAATAAAGGAACATAAATATGACCCTTGCTGGCTGGGCGCAGTGGCTCATGCCTGTAATCCCAGCACTTTGGGAGGCTGAGACGAGCGAATCACGAGGTCAGGAGTTCAAGACAAGCCTGGCCAAAATGGTGAAACCCCGTCTCTACTAAAAATACAAAAATTAGCCGGGCATGGTGGCATGTGCCTATAATCTCAACTACTCAGGAGGCTGAGGCAGGAGGATCGCTTGAACTCAGGAGGCATAGGTTGCAGTGAGCTGAGATTATGCCACCGCACTCCAGCCTGGATGACAGAGCAAGACTCTGTTTCAAAAAAAGACTCTTGCTTGTATCTTCCCTGGGCCTCCCAGGCTCTGGCACTTAGACAAATGGTTCCAGTCTACAGAAGATGATTCTGTAGCACTGTGGTTTAGGAGCACAGGGCAGAGGTTCAGCCCAATGATCGCCCTTCAGTGCGTCAAATGCCCTGTGCTTCACTGCCAGCCTTTTTGAGGTGGCTGAGAAAGTTTACATTCAATGTCAAAATGCTCTCCTTGGGGAACATCTAACATGGTTCCCTTGAGAAAGTAAGTTAATTTCTCAGGTTGCTGCTGGTCAGTGTCCCTCTCACTGCCTGCTAGGAATCCTGCTTTCCAAGCCTGCACGCCTCTTACCATGTTGTTCTCACCCACTGTTGAGTCACTTCTTGTAAGAATAGAAATAGTGGCCAGGTGTGGTGGCTCACGCCTGTAATCCCAGCACTTTGGGAGGCCGAGGCAGGTAGATCACCTGAGATCAGGAGTTTGAGACCAGCCTGACCAACATGGAGAAACCTTGCCTCTAATAATAATATAAAAATTAGCCAGGTTTGGTGGCAGGTGCCTATAATCCCAGCCCCTTGAGAGGCTGAGGCAGGAGAATCCCTTGAACCCAGGAGGAAGAGGTCACGGTGAGTCAAGATTACACCACTGCACTCCAGCCTGGGCAACAAGAGTGAAACTGTGTCTTAAAAAAAAAAAGAAAGAATAGAAATGGTAGATGGTGCTGGTGGCTCACACCTATGATCCCATTGCTTTGAGAGTCCAAGGCAGGAGGATTTCTTGAGGCCAGGAATTCAAGACCAGCCTAGCTAGCCTGCGCAACTTAGCAAGACTCCATCTCCTCCCTGCCCCCCCCACCTTTTTTTTAAGAGATAGTCTTCCTACGTTGACCAGACTGGTCTTGAACTCCTGGCCTCAAGTGATCCTCCCATCTTGGTCTCCCAATATGCTAGGATTACAGGTGTGAGCCACTGCACCCAGCCTAACAAAATATTTTTAACTCAGCTGGGCATGGTGGCTCACTCCTGTAGTTCCAGCTACTTGGAGGCTAAGATGGGACAATTACTTGAGCCCAGGAGTTCCAGGATGCCTTAAGCCATAATCATGCCACTGTAATCCAGCATGGATGGCAGAGCCAGACCCTGTCAAAAGAAGGAAGGAAAGAGAGAGAGAGAGAGAAAGAAAGGAAGAAATAAAGAAGGGAAGGAAGGAAGGAAGAAAAAGCAGAAGGAAGGAAGGAAGAAGGGAAGGAAGGAAGGAAAGAAGGGGAAAAGAAAGAAAAAGAAAAGAAAAAACAGTAAGGGCGGTGGGGGAAGAAGGATGAAGAGAGGGTGGTAATGGGTACAGACATATAGTTAGAAGAAATAAGTTCAGAGGTTTGATAGCACACTAGGGTGATGATACTTAGCATCAATGTTATGCATATTTTGAAGTAACTAGAAGAGAGGAATTGAAATGAAGCCAACACAAAAATGATAAACACTCAAGGTGAGGAATATCCCAATTACCCTGACTTGATCATTACACGTTCGTTGCATGGAGCAAACACTCACATGTACCTCATATACTCACATGTACTAATTTACATTAGTACATTAGTATACATCAATAAAAGGAAAACCAGATAATGAAAAAATAGAAATGGAATAGATTAAAGAATAGAAATTGAAAAGCAAGTATAGTAAGTGGTGGGGGGAGGGTGATAAAGTGAAGTGAGTTGCTTCAGAATGCAGTGCTCACCTTTGTCACTGTCCATTGGTTACCACGAAGGACTTGAAATTGTCATTTTTTTTCTGGATAAAACAAAGGGAAGGTAGGTATATATTCTGGTATCTCCCCATTTCTTTCTCTTATGCCTGAGGTTTCTCGATGAGTTTTGTTAAGTTCATTTGCAACCCGTTTGGAAACAGAGCGTCAGCTTGTTCTCTCTCTCTCTTCTCTCCATTCTTGCCTGGGCTGGGACTCTGTTTCCCGGGGTGATGGCAGATTGGCCATTGAGCTGCATCCTTGGTGGCTTTTCCTTCTTCATCTCATTGCCAATGAGGACACCGAGGAGGAAAAGGAGAAAACCAACCACCATCCACCGTCACTAAATGAGCACGCCAGGTTGCCATGCTGCACAGCTCCAGCCATATGGCCAAGATGGATGGATCCCTGACGAGGCATCCAGTGAGCCTGCATGGCCTGGGCAGCCCTGAAGTCAATAATCCTGCAAAAAAGTCATTCCTTCCCAGCAGAAGTCAGTGGGCTATCTTCCACAGACAGCCACGAAATTTCCCTCCTTTTCCTTCCATGAAGGGCTGGTGAAAACGTCATCATGGATCTGACCTGCATCTGGAGACCATCCTTCAGAGGCGCCACAGAGCTCCTTTCTGCCCGGGCATTTACGGTGCGTGAGAACTTGGAGAGGCGAGCTCTCAAGGGAGTTGGGGTTTTGACTTTGCCATGACTACTCAGGCCAGGATGAAGGCTGATACTTAACATGTGCATCCTTTGATTGACCCTTCAATCCTCACAATAACCCCATGTCACCAGGAGGAAACTGAGGCAAACTCCACACAACTGGCAAATCAGGTGTGACTCTCATTCCATCACAGCACTTTGCTGGGCACACACCGGAAACCAGATGCTCAGGTGAGTTAGTTCCAGGGGCTGCTTTCTTGCAGCCCCCAGACCTCCATTCTCTTCCCCTGCCGCTGACCTGTCACTGTTGCCTTCTTGGGGCCCTCCCAAAGCCTTGCTGATTTTCTCCCCCCCTGGGCTTTGACCAAGGCTTACTCATTTGGCCACACTCTCAGCAACTTGGGGGAAAGGATATGAGGTTGGACCCATTTCCCTTAGGAAGGGTCTGAGGCTTCTTATGCTCCGTCTAACAATCGTGTCTTTCTCAAAATATACAAATTTATGTTCCACAAGAGACTCAACACACAAGTGTACAGGTGACACACAAGGTAGCTTTTTGTCTACAGAGAAAGTGGAATGCAGGGTCCAGCCCCGCAGGGTCTAGCGGGTGTTCTTTTGTGTGTAGAGACAATAGATCGCAGGAAAGAAAGACACGAAACACAGAGATAGGAGAGGAATTCAGCTGGGCCTGGGGTATCACTACTGCCAAGGCGTGGAGTCCAGCATGGCCCCCAGTGCCCGGACACTCTGATTTTTATTGAGTACAAAGCAGTGGGCAGGGAAGGTAGGCGAGGTAATGGTGGTCAGTGACAGGGTCAGGTAAATCACGTGTCTTGGAGATACTGGCCCAGGACTTTCAAGTAGCCGAGGCGAGGAGAAAACCTCATGCGTCAGCACTTTTTCATACTTGTCAAGAAAGAACAAAGACATTAAAATTTATGTTACTCTTTACTGAGTCTATCTTTTAAGAAAAGGAGGGACCAGGTGTGGAAGTGGAACATGAAAGTGGACATGGAACGTGACCGCTGAAGCACAGCGTCACACAGAGACAGTGAAGCCCCCGGTGTCTGTGGGCCTCCCTGACAGCATCAGGCCCATCGCAGGAGCGTGGGGGAGCGGAGTTTTCTCCTCATCCCCCAGGAAGGAGACGTCTGGGCCATTTTGGACATCTCCTTCCCTAGCTGGCTAAGCAGCAGGCACTTTCCCAGCGCTGGTGCTGCCGCGCAGCCAAGGCGCCCTCCAGCAGCCCTTATGCGGGGATGACGGGGCTTAGAGCACCTTGCCTTAGGATCACTTTGTTCACAGTGTCACCTCAGTTCCATGCTTCATAACCTGATAATCATTAGTAAAATCAAAGGTTATACTGAGTAAATATATTTCCGTGATTACATATGGTTAACTGTGTGATTATTCATGATTGTATATAGGAGTAACTATGTATGGCCCTGATTCTTTTCTAGTTCCGTATGCATACGGGAACAGGCTGAGGCTTCAGACCTTTGGCTCAGCACTTGCGGGGTCTCCCACGAGGTCTCCCACCCACAGTGGAAGCATTGGAGGAGCCACAGAGACAGAAGTGAGGGGTGGCAGGTGAGGGCAGCGTGATGTTTCTTCCTCTCTCAGCCAGGTTCGGTCCCTTCTTGCTCCAAGGGACAGGCTGTGCTCCTGTGGGAAGCCTCTGACCTCACTGCAGTGAGAACGGCAAAGAGAGGAGGCGACCCAGCTGGCCTTCTGCCTACTACGGCTGCGCAGCAGGATGAGCTACACTTACTGGCCAAACCCGACGGCGGGCCTTCGTTGCTGCTTTTCTATCCCTTAGTAGTTTATAAATGTTCCTTTCTCTTTTGCAGCTTTGAACTACACACCATTCTTTAAAGAATGTCAAAGTAAAAGTGGATACAAAAGAATATCTCTCACCATCATGCCATATCAGTTTTTACGTGTAATTTTGTGGCTATGCTTTCCAACCAGAGATTAGTGTTATAATATTCCGGAGTGAAAAGCGTAAAAGAGTTATTGCCACTGAGATGTAAATATGGATAAACACCCTTTTAGAATCCAGTGATTTCGTCAGGCTTTCAGGAATACTTGCTTGTCATTTTATATTTGCAATGAAACTGAAAAATAGACCTGAAATTATACAAAAATGCATCGAGGAGTGCCCTGTGTCTATGTTCTCCTAGTTTTTGAAGGCAAATTCTCTATGAATAGGACTTAGAGGGATTCTAATTGATCTTACAATTGAGTTTCCAGTAACTGGACATAACTTTTAGTCTTCTTTAGTTCAAATCATCATTTCGTGTCTTCTTCGTTACAATTACTGGTGCTGGAAAATAAAATGCAATCCACTGTGATTCGTGTGTAGAATGCTGGTTAGTTCAGCTCCAAAGAGCAAATAAGATGTTCTATGCACAGCTGTCTCCTGGGCCTGCTCATAATAGGTATTCAGTAAATATTTGTTGAATGATTAAATAAGTGAATGAGCGAATGGATACAAGGGTGCTGCTATGTAGCATATGTAACTTGATTAATTATCGTGTGTGTTTTTTACTGTCTCTCTCCCCTCAATAGGATGACGGCCTCTTGAGGGCAGAGGTTTTCGTATGATTTGTTCACAGGTGTATCCCAGGCACATAGTGTGATGACTGGCATGTGAGATACTCGGCAAATATTTCTTGAACCATTAATGAGTCTGAGGCTGTAGCCACAGATTGCACTTTCTATCTCAGCCAGATGGTTCTTAAATGTATATCTTCAGTCATAAAGGGAATTGGGAGAAATATTTTAGATGTGTTAAAGAATGAGAGCAGATTGCTCGCCGCTCCTGGTCTCTTTACACAAATGAGTCTGCCCACAAGAGCCCTCACTGGAAATGTGTGACAGGCGACTGTAGACCGCAGCGTTTCTCTCTCAGGAATTCCTTCAGGCCACCTTTAGTTTGTGTGCTGTGCAGATTCTCACCTTTTGTTTTTCACTTTTTGGTTCCTCACCACACTCATTTCTCATGAAAGCAGGGACTCAAACAGATGCGTATGCCCACGTTCGTTGTGTGCTGTTCACAGCAGCCAAAAGGTAGAGGCAACCCACAGTGAATGAATGGGTAAACACAGGGTGGTACATGAATACAGTGGAGAATTACTCAGACTTTAAACAGGAAGGAAATTCTGACACCTGCTGCAACATGGTTGGATCTTGAAGACATTATGCTGAGTGAATAGGCCAGTCACAAAAGGGCAAATACAGGCTGGATATGGCTCACACCTGTAATCTCAGCATTTTGGGAGGCTGAGGTGGGCGATTCAAGGTCAAGAGTTCCAGACCAGCCTGGCCAACATGGTGAAACCCCATCTCTCCTAAAAATACAAAAATTAGCTGGAGGTGGTGGCACATGCCTATAATCCCATCTACTCGGAGGGCTGAGGCAGGAGAATCACTTGAACTGGGGAGGCGGAGGATGTAGTGAACTGAGATCCCAACACTGTACTGCAGCCTGGGTGACAGAGCAAGAAAGACTCCATCTCAAAAAAAAAAAATACTGTGGTTAAAATGGTAACATTTATGTCATGTATAATTTTATCACAGTAATAAATAGTCTTTAAAAAGACCCGTCCATAACCACCCATTTGGGCTCTATGGCTCCACCCATGCCTTTGGCTTTGACTTGAGGTCCTATTTCTGAATAAATTTTCAGGTATGAATCTTGGCGAGACTCGAGGACAGAGCTGTGTCCCTGACTCAGGTTCGATTGGCACCTTCTCTCGGTCACCATCTCAAACCTAAAGCAAAGAACCCACTCTTAGATGTCGTCTTGGTTTCAGTCAGGGGCCAGCACAGGAGCGTTCTTTACTACGGTTTTCAGTTAAGCGTTCCGCTTTTTGCGGGTCCCTCAGAGAAGGTGAAAGGATTAATAGAAGATGAAAGGGCTGGAAGCTATAGATTGTGATTATTGTACTATTAAGATGGTGTTGCTGCTAGGAAGGAAATGACTCAATACGAGACATATGTATACACACACATACGCTTTGAGTCTATATAGAAATGAGTCGGTGCTTTCGGAAGTTGCTGACATATTATCCTAGAGCACGTGTGTTATGAAGGCAGGGATGTTTTCATTTTGTTCATTGTTTTATTCCCACTGTGCCTGTTATGGAGTAGGTGCCCAATCAACATTTGTTAAGTGGATGAATGATGTACATTTTAAACACACACACACACACACACACACACACACACACACACACACACACACACAGATTGAGAGACAGAGTCATTGCTGCTTCTGGCTTAGTGCCAAAAAGAGTTACCTGCAGAGAAACTCAAATCTATTAGAGCGTTCAGCTTGTGACAGGCTTTCTTTCCTCCCACACCATAATTGTGTACTGTTGTAAATGATGTCTCTTCCCATGCTTTGGAATGTCGCCTTCTTGCCCAGGCTGGAGTGCAGTGACGCCATCTCCGCTCACTGCAACCTCCACCTCCCAGGTTCAAGCGATTCTCCTGCCTCAACTGGGATTACAGGCACCTGCCACTGCCACCAGCTAGTTTTTGTATTTTTAGTAGAGAAGGAGTTTCGTCATGTTGGTTGGGCTAGTCTCGAACTCCTGACCTTAGGTGATCCCACCCATCTCGGCCTCCCAAAGTGCTGGGATTACAGCCGTGAGCCACCACGCCCGGCCAATTCTCCCTTTCTATACTGTTTTGCATATTTTCATTTTATGATCAGGTTGGAAGATGAATTTTAAGGGAGTTATTACCTATGTTTAGAGTACATAAAGAAGAAAAACACTGAAATTTTCTTTGTACAGTTTTAATGCTCTCATGGCAATTAAACAATTATTTAAGCAGGATGTAAAAAGTCATGCAGAGCGTGGATGTATTTGAGACACAGGTCACATGATAATTATTGGTGTTAGTAATACAGTTAGTACATGAACCCAATATTTGTTCATCATTACGTAATTCATTTTGTTAGTTGACTTTGGGTGATTCCTCTAAGGAATATAAGTGACCACACTTTTTTTTTTTTTTTTTTTTTGAGATGGTGTGTTGCTCTGTTGCCCAGGTTGGAGTCCAATGGCACAATCTTGGCTCACCGCAACCTCCACCTCCCGGGTTCAAGCAATTCGCCTGCATCAACCTCCTGAGTAGATGGGACTACAGGTGTGTATCACCATACCTCTCTAATTTTTTGTATTTTTGGTAGAGACAGGGTTTCTCCATGTTGATCAGACTGGTCTCGAACCCCTGACCTCAGGTGATCCACCTACCTCAGCCTCCCAAAGTTCTGGGATTACAGGCATGAGCCACTGTGCCCGGCCTACATATTATTAATTCTCATAACATTCTTGGGAGCTAAATATTGTCGTTCAGCAGTAACAGCATCTCAGATGTTAACTGATTGGCCATACAATAAAGGGGCTTTATTTATAAACATTCAGGAACAGTGAAAAATTAATGGTACATATATTTTCTATTTAGAATTGCTCTCAAAAATTCATGCCTGGTCCATTTTATCAAGCAAATGTGCAGCATGTTTCCCCTATAATTCTAGCTTTTCTTTCTATACAAGATTGAGCTGCAGTATTGTGCCTCTCAGGCAGTGAGTCTCAGGGCAACTTTGTGGTGGGGACACCCATACTGTGTTTTCCACTCCATGGGGACCTCGGACTTCCTGAATGCCCAGAAAAGAGAGAAAAGAGAGGCCGGGCACAGTGGCTCATGCCTGTAATCCCAGCCCTTTGGGAGGCCAAGGCAGGTGGATCACAAGGTCAGGAGATCAGGACCATCCTGGCCAACATGGTGAAACTCCATCTCTACTAAAACTACAAAGAATTAGACGGGCGTGGTGGTGCACGCCTGTAGTCCCAGCTTCTCAGGAGGCTGAGGCAGGAGAATTGCTTGAACCCAGTGAGCTCAGACTGTGCCACTGCACTGCAGCCTGGTGACAGAGCAAGACTCTGTCTCAACAAAAAGAAAAAGAAAAGAGAGATATTGAAAGGAAAGGTTAAGTTCTTGAATTCCTATTTAAATTCTGTGATGCCAAAGGGGTTAGATCGTTGCCAAAAGCTTACGCAACTGAGCTGAAAATAAAGCTTAATTGGAAATGATATAGCGAGAGAACAAGAGTTGGGTCAGCAGGTAGGAGTTGGTGGTATGCACTCCCTCTCTTTCGTTTCCCTGAGGCCTCTTGGAGGATCTCTTTCCCTCTCCTGACTCCACGTGTCCATCACCTGCCTCTGTTCACGCTTCATGGCAGCATCAGCAAAGGCAAGTCAGCCAGGGAGGGCCGCTGAGAACTGAGGTTCCAAAACAGGGGGAGCAGAAGGGGAGGGCTTGGTTTTTAAACTACTTCAGTTCTTCCTCCTCCTCTCTCCCTCTCTCTGCTGCCTTTCCCGGCTCATTTCATTTTCCTGTGCTGCCATTCTTTCTAAGTGCAACCACAAAGACACTTTAATATAGCATTAAAAATCCAGTTACCGAAAATCAATTTGCCTATGCAAACTATGGATGCAGGATAAACAGGATGCTCATTCTCTAACCATCTGAGGACTCTCAGCAGGAAAGGCAGAAATGCTGTGGGGAGACATTGACGTCCTACATCCATCCTGTGATCTTCCTTGTCCTGTTCATAAGTGGCGGAATGAGAGCAACTTGACCTTGACAATCAGGGCTGGAGAGGCCATTGTTGGGCTTAGGAACCCACAGGTAGAGATAATACTGCAGATAGAAAGTGCTTCAAACACAGTAACTGCGTCCACGGCCCAGAGAACAGGTATAACACACAAGGAGCAGGGCTGTGGCTAATGTGTTGGCATCTGGGGCTAATATTTCTTAAAATGATGTAATCTAGAGGTAGAAAAACAACTATCTTGTCCAAAATGAATGATGAAGAGCTGAAGTCACTATCGAAAGGACAGCAGCCTACTAACCAACAGACAAAGTAAAACATTTTCTAATCCTGTGTTAGATATACATTTTAAGTGATTTAAAAACAAATCTCACATAACCTCACAACAATCCTCTAATGTAGGCAGGAAACTATTACCACCCTCGTGTGACAAGGAGATCAGCTAAGTGCCTTGCCAAAGTCACCTGGCATTCACGTCTATCTGTGCTGCTGCAGTCTCTCTCACCCTGGGAACCTGCTTATTTCTGAATCATTCGAATTGCGGGTCACCCGTGCCTGGGCGGGGTACCTCCCGCTTCTTTCAAGCCTGCAGATTCCTCCTCTCCTTTCCCACCATGTTCTCACTAGCCCAGGTCCCTGTGGCCTCACTTTTGGTTACCTGTCAAGAGCCCCCTAGCTAAGGTCTATCTCTTCTTACAGGCTCCTCCATTCCCAAGGCTGTGGGACACAATTTTAATTCTTCCTGATGTCACTGTCATCCCCAGATGTCCCTGCAGTGCCCAGCACACAGTAGGTGTTGAATCAACCTTTGGTAATGGATATCTTTCCACTCTAAGACTCCACTGCCCTGTCTGCCCCTCCAAGTTCATCATCTAGCCCTGTTTTCTCTCATTTCACTGAGCCAAGACGCAGGCAGCCTTCCACCTTCACACCCAAACTTGCTCTTCATCTGGAAGGTAGTATGCTCTTGAAACTACCTTTGCAAATTTATAACAATAGGAGAAATATGACATAGTTGACTCCATCTTTCTATTTGTTTATTTATTTTTTGAGATGGAGTCTCTTTGGTCCAGGTTGTCCAGGTTGGAGTGTAGTGGCACGATCTGGGCTCACTGCAACCGCTGTGCGGGTTCAAGCAATTCTCCTGCCTCAGGCTCCCAAGTAGTTGGGATTATAGGTGCCTGCTACTGTGCCTGGCTAATTTTTGTTTTTTTTGGTAGAGATGGGGTTTCGCCATCTTGGCCAGGCTGGTCTTGAACTTCTGACCTCGTGATCCATCCTTTTTGGTTTCCCAAAGTGCTGGGATTAGAGGCATGAGCCACCGCACCCGGCCCTCCATCTTTCTTTTAACCTCCAAGCTGTCCTTTGTCATCCCTGGGTATAGGCCAAGATAACTTTGGTAGAAATTCAGTTTATAGTTTAACCGTAAAGCAAGGATGATAATAGCCCTTCCCCAAAACTAACCTGACTTTGTAAAACCAATGAAAGGCTTCAAGGTTAGGAAGATGAGAGGGCCTGAATTCTGAGATGTAGGCATAAATGATAACCAGCCATTGTGTTGAAGGTCACATGACTTACAACTTTACCAATTACTCCTGTAGATAGCATTTTTACTATTGTAGAAACTAAAGTTTGTCTTTTGAGGTGTTTTTTGACTCCTGTATTCCTGATAACTGGTTAACTCCTCCTAGACCTGCCCATTTTCCACAACCCTATGATTTCACCCCTAACCAATCAACAGTCCCCATTTCATAGCCCCCTGCCCACCAAACTATCCTGGAAAAGTTATAAGCTCCAAGCCTTTGGGGAGACTGATTTGAATGACAGATAACTGCAGCTGGTCCAGTGTGAGCTGGGTTCATGTCAATTCAACTCTTTTTTTTTTTTTTGAAATGGAGTCTCTCTTTGTTGCCAGGCCGGAGTGCAGTTGTGTGATCTTGGTTCACTAAAACCTCTGCCTCCAGGATTCAAGTGATTCTCCTGCCTCAGCCCCCTGAATAGCTGGGATTACAGGCACATGTCACCACACCCAGCTAATTTTTGTATCTTTAGTAGAGACAGGTTTCACCATGTTGCCCAGGATGGTCTCGATCTCTTGACCTAGTGATCCACCTGCCTTGGCTTCCCAAAGTGCTGGGATTATAGGTGTGAGCCACTGCACCCAGCCAATTCAACTCTTCCTTTACCACAATACCATGGTCTCAGTGGATCAATTTTGTCCATGAAGTGGCAGAAGAATCTGTTGGGTGATTATGCTCTCCTCCTTCCTGTGAACAAAAAGTAAAATTCTAAGGCCCCCAACCAACGGAATGAACCCCTCTCTAGGCCAAGGGGACCCAAAAAAACCTGAAAAACTAGGTCAGGCCGTACGGGAAGTGGGGGTTGGACATACCTTATTATACTTTCCTCCCTTTAGTGTTCAGGTGTAACTGAGCAAACTTAACACTAAAATGGAGATCTTTTTTCTTTTAATACTTTAAGTTCTGGGGTACATGTGCAGATCGTGCAGGATTGTTACATAGGTATACATATGCCATCGTGGTCATCTATCCATCCCCCTGTCATCTACATTAGGTATTTCTCCTAATGTTATTCCTCCCCAATCTCCCCACCCTCTGCTATCCCTACTCTAGCCTCCCCACCCCCAACAGGCCCCGGTGTGTGATGTTCCCCTCCTTGTGTCCGTGTGTTCTCATTCAGCACTCACTTATGAGTGAGAACATGTGGTGTTATTTTTTCTGTTCTTGTGTTAGTTTGCTGAGAATGATAGTTTCCAGCTTCATCCATGTCGCTGCAGAGGACATGAATGAATCCTTTTTTTTATAGCTGCATAGTATTCCATGGTGTATATGTGCTGCATTTTCTTTATCCACTCTATAATTGATGGGCATTTGGGTTGGTTCCAAGTCTTTGCTGTTGTAAACAGTGCCGCAATGAACATATGTGTGCATGCGTCTTTAAAATAGAATGATTTATAATCCTTGGGTATATACCCAGTAATGGGATTGCTGGGTCACATGGTATTTCTATTTCTAGATGTGTGAGGAATCGCCGCACTGTCTTCCACAGTGATTGAACTGGTTTACACTCCCAACAACCACGCAAAAGTGTTCCTATTTCTCCACATCCTCTTTAGCATCTGTTGTCTCCAGATTTCTTAATGATTGCCATTCTAACTGGTGAGATGATATGTCCATGTGGTTTTGATTTGCATTTCTCTAATGACCAGTGATGATGAGCGCTTTTTCATGTGTTTGTTGGCCACATAAATGTCTTCTTTTGAAAAGTGTCTTTTCATATCTTTTGCCCACTTTTTGATGGGGTTGTTTATTTCTTGTAAATTTAAAACAGATCTTAACACTGACAACACAGGTGCTTTGTAGCAATAAGATACCAAATTTCAACCTGACTCTAGTGTGATATCACATGACAGATAAAAAAGGAAATTGAAATATTTTACCCCAAAATATGTTTCCTTGACAAAGACCTGGGATTTCTTTAACAAAGAAACATATTTTGGGGTAAAATATTTCGATTTCCTTTTTGGAAATCATATTTTGGGGTAAAGTATTTTGATTTTTCTTATTTGTTTCCTATATCTATATATTTATTTATATATATATTTTTTTGAGACAGTATTGCTCTATTGCTAGGCTAGAATATGGTGGCACAATCTCGGCTCACTGCAAGCCCTGCCTCCCAGGTTCAAGTAATTCTCCTGCTTCAGCCTCCTGAGTAGCTGGGACTAGAAGTATGTACCACCTTACTTGGCTAATTTTTTGTATTTTAGTAGAAATACAGGGTTTCACTATGTTGGCCAGGATGGTTTCCATCTCCTGACCTCCTGATCTGCCCACCTTGGCCTCCCAAAGTGCTGGGATTACAGGTGTGAGCCACCGAGCCCTGCCTCTTTGTCATATTTTGAAATGGCCCTGCAAAGTCATCTTTTTTGGGGGAAAATATTCAGCTGTAAAAAATGTCTATCAACATAACCAGATCTTTCCCTGTCCAGGTCCTCCCAATCTTGAGGAGATTAACTGAGAGTCTAGCACCTTTTAGAATTCTGAATAGCAAACATTTGCCATCTATTATTTCTAAGGGTGGCCACCTATATGACTTCATCTACATAATAAAAAACTTGGGCTGGGCACAGTGGCTCACGTCTGCAATCCCAGCACTTTGGGAGGCCGAGGCAGGTGGATCATGAGGTCAGGAGTTCAAGACTAGGTTGACCAACATGGTGAAACCCTGTCTCTACTAAAAATGCAAAAATTAGCAGGGCATGGTGGCAGGCACCTCTAATCCCATGTTCTCAGGAGGCTGAGGCAGGAGAATGGCTTGAACCCGGGAGGCAGAGGTTACAGTGAGCTGAGATCAGGTCATTGCATTCCAGCCTGGGGGACAAGAGCGAGACTTTGTCTCAAAAAAAAAAAAAAAAAAAGAGAAAAAGAAAAAATCGACAAATGGAAACCTTTTTCTCTGGTCCTATGATTTAAAAGCATTTAAATGTTAGTGTTGTCTACTTTCTAGATATGATCATCTGAAAGTTGAGGTAATCTGGGGTGGTTTTATTTTATAGTCACGTTTTCATTTTAGTGTATCTGGAATATTTTTGAATGCTGGTAGAGTCACGCAGTTCTATACTTAGCTATTTGGCCTATAAATAGAGTATGATCTTAAAAATAATTGCAATTGGGTGACGAATGTGACAGACGGGTGAAAGAACTTCGCGTCCACCCGGGTTGATGGTGCCAGGTTATAGAGGTGACAGCCAAGGAGAAGAGACAAACTCTCCCTTCCCACATCGTCGTTGGTCACCCCACTTTCCTTTTGGCCAACTTTTTACAGCTGGGCTCTGGATCATTCTCCTGAAGGCTCAACCAAGCTCCTGTTTCCCGCCTAACCCACACTGGAGGCACGAAGCGTATTAAAACTTGTTCTTCCTCTACCAAGATTCAGAGTGAAGACTGGGAGGAGAGCTCCAGAGTCAGCCCCAGTTCCCAGGGGAAACTCACCACTTTTCCTCCCAATGTCAGAAAATCTTAGGGAGTGGGCTTTGGCCATGGCTTCCTCTTCCAGTTCTGACCCTGCCTAGGCCATAGTCTCTACTCTGTAATGAGGTGTCTGGTACAGTGGTAGGAACTCAGCAAGTGGCTGAGCCAGATACCTCATTAAACAGGTCTCAGAGGATGGCTGAGTGTTTAGGTAGGTTCTGCCCTTGATGGCGGTACCATTGTGCCTCCTCTGGCTCTGAGACTCTGGTGTCCCTTGATGCTGTACTTTGTCAGGGGGACTGGGCCTCAGAAGGGAGCTTCCATAGCCTCTCGGTGCTCTCCATCACTATGCCTCATGTCCGTGTCTCAAGTTACGCCCAGGGTGAGACTAAATCTATGAATGACAGCAACCTTTACCATTTATTGAGTTTCAGCGATAGGCTGGATATTATATCAGTGCTTATCACATGTCTTCTCATTTAATTTTTACTGCAAACCCACAAAGTAGGAATCTCCCTTTCCATTGAGGGATAAAATTCCATGAGAGGGATAAAAGGGTCAATAAATATAAGTAACTTGCAAGGATAAGGATATCTAGCTGGCAAATGAAAGTTGGAATTCAATCCAGGGCCATGTGAAGCTAAGCTAATACTCTCTTTTTTTTTTTTTTTTTTTTTTGAGGTCAGAGTCTCTCTCTGTCACCCTGGCTGGAGTGCAGTAGTGCAGTCTCGGCTCACTGCAACCTCTGCCTCCCGGGTTCAAGCGATTCTCCTGCCTCTGCTTCCTAAGTTGCTGGGACTACTGCGCACACCACCATGCCCAGCTAATTTTTTTGTGTTTTTAGTAGAGAGAAGGTTTCACTGTGATAGCCATGATGGTCTCGATCTCCTGACCTCATGATTCACCCACCTCGGCTTCCCAATGTGCTGGGATTACAGGCACGAGCCACCGCACCCGGCCAACCTCATACTCTTAACAAATATTAGGACATGTTGACTTTCAACAAGATTTTGGATTTTTTTTCCCTTCCCAAACTACCTTCCTCTTTTCTCTTTCTGTTTTTAAGACTCAGAAGGTGAAATACCTAGGTCGCGTAAGCACAAGTTTATTTTATTTATCTCATTTGCATTATGCCCTTGGCTGGAGCAAAGTCTGTTTAATGCTTTTTTACAAGAGTATTTCCAAAGCCCCTGGATCAGTGCTGTGTACATAGTTGGCCCACAGTAGACAGGGATTGACTAATTAGGGCTAGGACCATGTTTCATAAACACAGGGAGAGGAGAGAGCGTATGACCTAGCTCACACTTTGCCCCAGAATCTGGTACGCTGGCAAAACCAAGTCCCTGACAGCACATTAGTCGCTATGGACTTGGCAGGGCATGCACCTGTCATCTACGAATAGTAGTTCAGTCAGTAACTGCCCTTTGTAGGCTGATGGGATGTCTAGCCCTATGTAAACATTTCTTTTTTAGCACGAGTTCTTAATTCCTGAAGCACTTGGTTTGTCACCAGTTTCTTGAGAAAATAATCTGTCCATGTTCTCCCGTCATGGGATGGTGACTCAGGCTGGGGATTCAGGCTGTTCTCTGTGCAGTAGCTGGACTTGCCGCCCTGTCCTGCTTGGACCCAAGCCAGCACACCGCGGAGAGGTGCTCCTTCCACCTCCTGGTGACCCATGCCAGCCCTTCTGCTCCTTCCCCTCTGCTGCTCTTGCCTCTGTGGTTGCCAGAGTAACCATAAAAATATTACTCCACATGCTGTAGGAACAAAATGTCATGCACTTAACTATTGTTTTAATTTAAAAACTAACGTGTGAAAATAACTCCAGCCTGGGAGAAATGCTCTTTCTGGCAGACGATTCCTTTTGGAAGGAGAGGTACAAAATCAGTGTGAAGAACTCAGGGGGCAGGAACAATACCTAGGTTTAGGATAAGAGTCTAAGCTTCTGTGTCCTATGTCAATGGTTAGTGTCCCATACATGCCTCTCCAATGAAAATGAACGAATGAAGGAGTGGAAAATGTGACACAAACTTTTCTGAAAAATTTAGGAATATATAAATGGGACATATGGATTTTAAAGTAAAACTCTTAATGCCTATCATAAATTATAGTAGAAATGCTATGATAGAGTTCAGGATGGTGAGTGAAGCATGTTGAGTAGTGTGCCCCCAATTTCATGTTCTTCTAGAACCTTGGAATGTGACCTTATTTGGATATCAGAGTCTCCGCAGACATAATGAGTTAAGGATCTCACAGTGAAAGCATTCTGGACTTAGGATCGGCCCTGATCCAATGACTGATGTCCTTACAGGAAGAGGAGACTGACAGGCATGGAGGCTCGTGCCTATACCTGCCCTTTGGGAGGCCGAGGTGGGAGGACTGCTTGAGGCCAGGAGTTCAAGAACATCCTGAGCAACGCCCCCAGGACACCCCCACCCCACCTCTGTATGTATAAAAAAATTTTTTTTCTTCATGTGGTATTTTTTTTTAAATTGTACTTTAGGTTCTGGGGTACATGTGCAGATCATGCAGGATTGTTGCATAGGTATACACATGGCAATGTGGTTTGCTGCCTCCATCTCCCCACTACCCACATCTGGCATTTCTCCCCATGTTATCCCTCCCCAACCTCCCCACCACCCCTGGCTGTCCCTTCCTTGGCCCCCACCAACAGACCCCAGTGTGTGATGCTCCCCTCCCTGTGTCCGTGTGTTCTCATTTTTCAACACCCGCCTGTGAGTGAGAACATGCGGTGTTTGATTTTCAAAAAAATTTTAAAAATTAGCTGGGCATGGTGGCACACACCTATAGTCCCAGCTATTTGGGAGGCTAAGGCAGGAGGATTGTTTGAACTCAGGAGTTCAAGGCTGCAGTGAGCTGTGATTGCCCCACTGCACTCCAGCCTGGGTGACAGAGTCAGACCCTGTCTCAACCATAACAAAAATAAGTTTCCTACAATGTAATGAGTTTATTTGTTCTCCCTCATTGAATTACCTGTCACCTTGATCAAAAGTCAATGGAGCTGGGTGCAGTAGTGCACATCTGTAGTTCCAGCAATTTGGAAGCTGCAATTGGGAGGATTGCTTGAGCCCAAGAGTTCAAGGTCAGCCTGGGCAACATTGTGAGACCTCATCTCTTTAAAAAAAAAATTTATTTTTTGAGATGGAGTTTCATTCTTGTTGCCCAGGCTGGAGTGCAGTGGTGCAGTCTCAGCTCACTGTAACCTCCGCCTCCCAGGTTCAAGAAATTCTCCTGCCTCAACCTCCTGAGTAGCTGAGATTACATGCACCCACCACCATGCCCAGCTAATTTTTTTTGTGTTTTTAGTAGACATGGGGTTTCACCATGTTGGCCAGGCTGGTCTTGAACTCCTGACCTCAGGTGATCCAACTGCCTCAGCCTCCCAAAAGGCTGGGATTACAGGCGTGAGGTACCACACCTAGTCAATTACAAATAAATTGATCACATATATGTGGGTCTATGTCTGTACCC